GAACAAAAAGAAAATTGAAGAGGATTAATTCCATCTTCACATATTGATGAAATATGTTTAATTTGATTAATACAATTTCCTATTTTAATTGTTTTAGATTGAGAAGGAATTGAAATTTTACAATTAGTTCCACAAAAAACAGAAGTAGGTACAGATGTAATTTTAATATGAGAATTTTTATGTTTGATTTGATTTTTATAAGGTTGAAGTATTTTAATTTTATTTAATTTGGATGAATCAATTTGAAGAGTTGATTGAAGTGGAGGAGTTGAAGTAAAAAAACCAAGATAAACAGATGATTCACTTTCAAGAATAATGGAAGATGTTTTTTGAAAAGAATTTAATAAACAATTTTGAAATAAACATGAATCAACAATATGAAGATGAGTAATTGGAGAATAAGAAATATTTACAAGAAGAGGAACATTTTCATAATTTTTAATTTTAAACCATCTTGTATGATGTTGTTTAAAATCATTACATCCAGTATATGAAGGAGTTGAGACTTTCATTATTTTATTATTAATAACTATTTGAGTATTTAAAGAAGTTAATATTATTTCTTGAGCTTCTAAACATTGTTGAGAAAATCCAAATGAAAGAAAGAGAAAGAAAATAATTAACATAATCCAATTTATTTATTTTATTTAAATTAAATTAAAAAGATTAAAAATAATAAAATAAAAAAAAAAGAAAAAGATTTCCAATTTAATAAATAAATGGAATAAGAATCCATCTCTTTGGATAATCTGGGAATATATGAAGATACTTTTGATGTCTTTGATATGCCCATTCTCTCATTTGATAAATTCCACAACATGAGAATGCAATACCAAACAATGAAAAACCTGTCATAATATTAAAGAAAATCCATGTCATAATTTCACAGAAATAATTAGCACAAGTAATATATTCAAAAAGGAATCCATGTGGCATTTTCCATTCTTGTGATCCTGGTGTTCTTAATTGTTTAAGAAGAAGATGACAATATCCATTAGAAATAATAGATATAATCATTCCAATTAATCCAATTATAATTAAAAATGAACAATTTTCTCTTGCAAAGAAATTAACATTAATTCCAACTGCAATAGCAAATCCATAATAATATGTGCAATTTTTATATAAATTAAATACTGGCATTGTCATATCTCCAAATTCATGAACATAAATAGTTTCTATAATTCTTTTAATATAATGAATTACCCACATAATAACTGCAAGTTTATTTTGAAGAAGATTTGGATATCCTGTAAATAATGAAATAAGATAAATTAAAACATAAAGTGCCAATGGTCCAATATATTCACAAATGTATACAAATCTAAATGGTAATTGTGGTCCAAGATCTTTCATTTCAATTAATGTATCTTCTGTAATTCCTGATTCTTGAAGTGTTTTATCAACTTCAAGAACAATTTTTTCTTCTCCTTTTTGATACCATAATCTTTGTCTACAAGCTTTTAATCCTGTTACTATTTCAATATTAAAACGTAATTCACGTACTTGTTTAGTAAGTTCAATTTCTACTGTATGAGTATTACCTTTATAAAGAATCTTAACCATTTATTTTAATTATTTAGTTTTTTAATTTTAAGTTTTTTAAGGGTTTTTTCTATTTTTTTTGTTTTATTTTTTTTTTATTTTTTTATTTTTTTTTATTTTTTTTTAAAGAAGAAGATTGTTAGTAAAAATATTTTATTCTTTTTTTTTATGAATATATTAAAAATAATTTAATGTTATTTACAAAAAAAAAATAATAATAAAATTATGTTATTAGAGAAAATTGAGTTATTTTATAATTTAAGAGAGAAAAGAATAATTAATCTTATAAAAATAATTAAATATGGAAGAAAAACAAAAAGAATATAATCAAATATCAACACTTCCTACACCAGCAGATGTTAATAAAGCAGTACAATTTGAAGGAACAGTATTAAGATCATCAAATACTAAATTACTTGAAAATAAAAGAATATATAGATGTAGTAAATGTAAAAGAGAATTTGAAGTAGAAGCACAAGTTGAAACATCATTTCAATTTGAAATGCCACCATTTTGTGGAGGAACAACAAGAACAGGAGATTTATGTAAAAATAAAAAATTTGTACAATGTGGAAATGGTGAAACAATAGATTATCAAGAATTAAGAATTCAAGAACCAACACATAATTTTGTAACAGCAGGATTACAAAGACAAGTAAGTGTTATTTTAATTGGAGAGAATGTAGGAGAAGTTCAAACAGGAGATTTTGTTACAATTAAAGGAATAGTTAAAGTAAGATGGATTTCATATAATAATGAAGAAATACCAGAATTAGAAATTGTTGTTCTTGTAGATGAAATTATTTCTAAAAATGTAGATAAAATGGCAATTAATGTTACAACAGAAATGGAAGAAAAATTTAAAGCATATTGGGAAGAAAATAAAAATAATCCTGTTAAAGGAAGAGATATGATATTACAATCAATTTGTCCAGAATTATGTGGATTAAGAATGTGTAAATTAGCTATAATGTTAGTTACAACAGGAGGAATTTCAAGAATAGATAAAGAATCAAAAACAAAAACAAGAGGAACAATACATTTATTACTTGTAGGTGATCCAGGAACAGGTAAATCACAATTATTAAAATTTGCATCTAAATTAGGACCAAGACATATTCAAACAACAGGAGGAGGAACAACATCAGCTGGATTAACAGTTTCAGTTATTAATATTGGAGGAGAATTAAGTTTAGATGCAGGAGCATTAGTTTTAGCAGATGGAGGAGTTTGTTGTATTGATGAATTTTCAGGAATTAATAAATCAGATAGAGCTGATATTCATGAAGCAATGGAACAACAAACGTTATCAGTTGCAAAAGCAGGAATTGTTAGTCAATTACATACAAGAACAGCAATATTAGCAGCAACAAATCCAAAAGGAAGATATGATCCAGCAAAATCAATGAGTTTAAATACTGCAATTGATCCACCATTATTATCAAGATTTGATATAATATTATTATTATTAGATGATAGAAGTAAAATATGGGATGAACAAGTATCTGATTATGTTTTAAATGGACATAAACCAATAAATAAACCATTATTTAATTGTGACCAATTACAATGTTATATATTATATGTAAAAATGCATTTTTTTCCAGAAATGACAGAAGAAGCAGAATTAGTAATTCAAAAATATTTTCAATATCAAAGAGGAAAAGAAAGAAGAGAATCAGGAAGAACAACAATAAGATTATTTGAATCATTAATTAGAATTTCTCAAGCACATGCTAAATTAATGATGCATCAAAATGTTACATTAATGGATGCAGTTATGGCAGTATTACTTATTGAATCATCTTATAATGGTATATCAAATAAAAGAGAATATTCAGAATTTCCTATAGATCCAGATAAACAATATGAAGAAGAAGAAATTAGACTTCTTCAAACATTACAACTTGAATATTTAATTAATAATAAATTAAATTTACAAAATAATTCAGATGAATTAATTAAAATTAATAAAGAAAAAAATAATCAAAAAGGATTTACTCAACCATTAAATAATATAAATCAAGAAGATTATGAAAAATCAATAAAAGAAGAAGAAGAAGAAACAAGAAAAAGTTTTTGGAATAATTATATGGATTCTCAAAGAAAAAGTGAAATGACAGGAATTATATTTCCTTCACAAAGAATGAGAGGAGGACCTTTAAAAAAAGGACAAAGTCTTAATTTTATTATAGAAAAAAGAAAATCTGAAGAACAACTTGAAGAATTAAAGAAAAGTCAAAATTTATTATTTAATATTCCAACAAAATTGAAAAGTATTTCAAATAATCAAAAAGATAATGAAAATAAAATTGATAAATTAAAAGAAGAACAAGAATTTAATAAAGAAATTAAACAAGATGATGAATTTTCATTTGATACTGATTTTGCTGATCTTTTTGAATTAAATGAAGAAAATTCAAAAGATGAAAATAAAGAAATAAAAGAAATAAAAGAAATAAAAGAAATAACAAATAATATTGATAATCTTTTAGAATCAACAACAATTGAAACATCAATTAAAAAAATTAATTCATTTTCTAAACAAGATGAAAAACCAATTTCAATTACACAAAATAAACATTCAAATTTATTAAATAAAATTAAAATAATGAAAAGTAAATCAAAACAAGAAAAAGAAGAAGAAAAAGAAGAAGAAGAACATGAACAATTAAAAAGAAAACAAATTGATGATGATGAATTTAATTTTGATGATATTGATTCATTATTTAAAGAAAAAAGAAATTTATAATTTAAAATAAAAATTTTTTTATTACTTTTAAACTTAATTTAATTAATAAATTTGTTTAGCATTACATTGTTCTTTAAAGAAACAAGTAAATATTTTATTATAAAATTCATTATCATCTTTACATGCATCAGTACAATCTGGTTGAAATTTAATTTGATGAAGAAATGGATTAAAATGAGAATCTATCATAATATCAATACCATATATTGCACATGAATTAATTTCAAATTTATATTTATGTGTTTGAATTCCTGCATCAAATGTTCTACTTATTAATAATTCAATTTTTTCTTTTAAATTTTCCCATTTATATTCTTTTCCATATTTTTCATTAAATTGTTTAATAAAATCAATATCACAAATTTTATTTATTTTATTTCCATATTTCTTACTTGTAAAATGTCTTTCATAATCATTTAAATCATCTAAATTAAATGTATTATTAGTAAAATAACTCCAAAATCTATCATATAAATAAATATCTGGTTTTTGACTTTTCCATAAAATATCATATTTCATTAAAACAATAAATCTAAGTTCAAATTTTCTTTCATTAAGAAGAAGTGGTTCTATAATATATTTACTAATAATACATGGAATACTATTAGCTATTTTAATAATAGCATTTATATTATTAAAAATACCATTTCTATTTCCTTCAATTCTAGTAATAGGTTTAATAATCCAATAATTATCTAATCCTTCTTTTTCTCTTTTAAAATATGTTATTATAAATTCTTTAACTTCTTCAAAATTAGAAAAATCAAATGTTTCTGGAATAATTTTTATATATTCTTTTCCATATGCTAATTTAAGTGTATGATATAATTCTTTATTTATTGTAAGTGTTTTTTCTCCTTCAAATTGATCAATATATGTATTTGTTCCTTTAAAAATTTCAATTTCTTCATCTTCTAAATAATTTAATAAAAATATTCCATTACTTTCTTTAATTATTTCTGTATGTTCAAATGGTTTAATTGTTAAATATTTTTTAATTAAATCATTTTGACTATAAATTTTTATTGGTATATTTGTATATTCTTGTTGTTTAATTTGATATAATTCTATTAATTTATTTTCTTCTTTTATTTCTTTTTTTTCATATGAATTAATTATTTCATTAACTACTTCTTGTGCTTCAATAAATCTATTTCTTAAAGGAATAGCAGTATATTCATCTGGTAATAATTGAAGTGGTGTTAAATAATCACAACTAATCATTTCTGCATATTCAATTTTTTGAATTGGAAGAAGTAATGTATAAAATGTTTCTGTTGGTATAAAATAAAATGGTATTAATTTACAATTTGGTGTTTTTGAATATATTACTGAAATTCCAACATTATCAAGAAGATACCATAAACATTTTTCTTTATTTTCTTCTTCTGATCTAAGACGAAGAGAAAAATTATATTCCCACATTAAATCATAAAATCTTTGAAGTCTTGTTGCTGGATCTGCATCATCTGAATTTAATCCAAAAAGTTCTTCATATTCAATTAATATTTGTGGATTTTTAGCAATAGCCATCATAGCATCTTCTCGTTCCGCAGTAAAATGATGTTCTATAAGAAAAATATCTGAATTCGCTTCTATTCCTTCTTCTTTAATACATAATAATCCAAATGGAATTTTTCTTCCATTTTCTGGAACAATACCTTCTGGCATTTCACAAAATTGAAATACTTTTCCTGCATCAAAATTTTCTTCAATAAGTTTATGATATAATGGAATTATTAAATTCGATGGAATTCCAAGTCTTTTAAATTGTTCTTGATGACTTTGCATAAAAAATACTGCTTCAGTTGTTATATCTTGCATCAATCTTAATTCTTTATTATTTTTTATTTTTTTTAATTTTTTTTTTTTTAGGGTTTTTTTTGTGTTATTTTTTATGTAATAAAAACCAATTCATTCATATATAACATTAAATAATGAATAAATAATGAATAAATTGAAGTATAAAACTGTTTTTGATAAGAAAGAGAATAAAAGATATATTTTAATATTTGTTTTATAAGAAATATATGAAAATAATAAATAAGACTATTTAATAAGAATAAAAAAAAAAGAAGAAGAAGATAATGAAAGAATTCAAGATAATAAAGAAATAATATAATAAAAAAAAATAGTGGTTTAAAAATTAAAACTTATTAATAATAATCAAATGGAAGAACAAGAAAAAGGAACAATAGAAACAATACAAGAAGAAGAAATAAAGAAAGAAGAAGAAATAGAAAAACAAGAAGAAGAAAAAAAGAAAAAAGAAAATGAACATAGAAATTATCCACCATTATTAAAAATTTATCCAATTGAAAATTATCAAATAGATAAAAAAGAGAAATTAGATAAATTAAAACAACAAACATTTGGGTATCAAATGGAACAACTTAAAATATCAGTTGAAAAGAATCATGTACCAAGAACATCAGTTTATGGAGTTATTTTAGTTCACAAAAATAATTTTCCACATTTATTAGTATTACAATCAAATTTATCAATGAATTTAAAAGATGAAATTCATCTTGTTGGAGGAAGATTAAAAATTGGAGAAGATGATCCAGTTGAAGGATTAAAAAGAAAATTAAGAAAAAAAATGTCAATGGAATATATTACACATTATGAAATAGGAGAATTACTTGGAACATTTTATAGAATAGGATATGATAAAAATTTATATCCATATATACCAGTTCATATAAGTCAAGTAAAAGAAATTATTAATATTTATATGATTCATCTTGTTGAAAAATGTGATTTTAAAATATTTGATACTGATAAATTAAGTTCAATACCACTTTTTGCTTTACATAATAATTTTGAAAAATACAATATTACTCTTTGTTCTATTCCAATTATGGTTTCAAGATATCTTATGATTTATGGGTAATAAAACAATAATTTAATATAATAAATAAAAATTTCAATTATTTTTATTAAATAAAATAAAAAAAATAAAAATTAAAAATTAAAAAAAAAAAAGAACTTAAAGAAATTAATGAATTCACCTAATTTGAGAAGTGAAGGATTAACTCAAGAATCATTAAAATTAACACAAAATTTTATAATAAGAGGATTAACACAACCACTTCCTGATGCATTTCAAAATGTAGAAATTGGAAGAATTACAATGATTATGTTTTATTTAGGTGCATATAAAATATTATTTCCAGAACAACCAATTAATAAAGTAATAGATACAGAAAAAACTATTCAATATATATTAACATCACTTAGTATAAAAAGTGAAGAAAAAGAAGTGTTTCAAGGATTTACAGGATGTGAAATGTATGGAATATTTAAACATGGACATATTAGTTATACATATGCAGCACTTGCATCTCTTTCACAATTAGGATATGATTTAAGAAGAATTGATAAATCTAAAATTGTAAATTCATATCATACATTATTTAGAAAAGAATATAAAGGAGTATTTGCAACAAGTCTTGAAGAAGAAGGAGAATATGATATAAGATTTATATATTCATTATGTGCTACATGTTATTTATTAAATGATTGGGGAAATATTAATAAAGAAATATTATTTGAATTTATTATGAATTGTAGAAGTTATGATTTTGCATTTGGTCAAATGCCAAAAAGAGAAAGTCATGGAGGATCAACATATTGTGCTATCAAAGTTA